GCTATCTCTGAGTTGTCTTCACATGTTATAACACCCTTATGAATCAATTTTGAAACCAGCAACCATTTGGTAGCCTTTGACTTTGATGAAGAAACAGTCAAAAATGACAAAATGAATTGAAAAACAGACAAATTCATTGTAATAACTTCCCTAAGCACTCTAATAACAGAAGAAAGGTGATGATCAAGTTCCAAATTTGGGGACAGCCCAAGTTTTGTATCCATGTGCTTCAAAGATGTGATCAACTTGTTGACATTTTTCTTCATTTTTTTTGTGAAGAATTTGTATTCCGCCACACTAGTTTGAACACATGAATCTCCTTTTTTTCTTCTAAGAGAAGAATGAAGGGCTTGAACATTTTCCTTGATTTGCAACACAGTGTCCCTTGTGATGCACATACATCCAGAATTCTCATAGAACTGTCTAGCACCTCTTGAATGAATTTCTCACCTCTATGATGAGAAATCAGCTGTTGAGTTGATGGCATGTTGAGAAGATGTTCCAATGAAATATACAAATCTTCAAGTAAGGAAAGAGCAATAAGAATAGAGGCTGATGTGGATGTGGATGTGGATGTTACTTCCCAAGCCTTGAGCTTGTTCAATTCTTCAGTTACTCTAATGGTGCTAGGATGAGATCTTGAAGGCAAACTAATTGAACGAATATGGTACTTGTTTGCCATGGTGGTTAATCTTTTGTTTCTCTCAAATAGTTTAAGTTAAACTTTGTGATGGTGTTACCAAGTTATTGATTGTTTGGTTATATAGGGGGTTATTGTTGACGTTGATTCCTAGAGGTTTAGATTCAACATAAAATTGTGAAAGGAAGCACAAGTCAGTGATCACCGTGTGGGGCATGTGAGGATGGCATGGGGCACCCTTCCATTTCGGTTAAATTGTCGCATCAATGCCTAGCATTGGGCGATATTTAATTGGTTTTTGAATACATTTATTGATATTGGTTTTTGAATACATTTATTGATATTGGTTTTGAATGAATATAATCTTGGGTTATTGGGAAGGTCAGCACGAATACGAATCAACATTTTTATTTGGATTTTTTTTTATGAGTAATATGTTTTTGTGAAAAGCACACTATATATTCATCCAAAATATTAAAGGTGATAGGTGTATGAGTTCTTTCACTTGTAAATGCTCAAATGTTCACATTTTTAATTAATATGGAACTTCCCCACACTACTCACACTTGTAATTCTTTTTCAACACTTTCTCTCAAATGTGAGTCTATCCATAATGCTCCCTACAATGTTCTCTCTCAAATGAAAACTCTTTTATCCACATACATTTGTATCGCTCTTGACACTTTTCAACTGGTCATCTTCTACCTAGTAAAAATTTCAATACAAGTAAATTGGTTCTTTCACTCGAACCAAAGACTTATGATATTACTGTTAATGTTAAATCAGGGGTCAACACGAAGAAGTATTTTACACTTTAAATTTTTTCTTTAAAAGGAACACACCTTTACGAGAGACATATCACATATGAAAAAACAAAATTACATTGACTATTTAATATAAATAAACCCTATCACCTATAACACATTTAATATAAACATTGGAAAATTTAAATCAATAGACTATTAGTATCATAATATAAGATATGTTGAACTCTACTCATTTTATAAAAAAAAAAACAATTTTTTAAGATATAAAGTGTCATTCAATATAAATCTTTTTTAGGCTTTATTTTTCTTCAATATACTCCCTCATATAAATTATTATTGAGTTTGAAGTATGGATATAAACGAAATGTAGTTTGGCGAATAGTCTGAGTCGATAGGCTTTTGATGTGTGTATATAAAGTATAATGGCTTGAATTGTTGATATACAAGACTTCGTTTTTCCAATACACTACATTATGTCCAACATTTTAAATTTGACCCACATAAATAAATAAATAGTGTATGTCTCGAATCAATAGACTCTTAATATCATGATAAAATTAGAGTTGACTCATGCCAACAAACAGAATATAAGACTAGGAGTGATAATCTATATAATTTTTTTTAAACTATATTGGTAACCAATGTGTAGAACTTGAAATTTCTCCAATACATTAATTTATTTTGTTACATTTAATGTAATTAATTTTTTTTCTTAAAAACATTTATTATTTCTAAAATATCTTTAATAAATTTTTATTTTATTTCTACGATAGAAACTTTCATGCATATTGTTCTTGCTAAACACTATTTAGAGAAACCTCGTTGAAACTATCCAAGTGAGGTTATAATCGTCCTATTTTTTTAAGAGGTATTAGTTGTCCTTCTTTCTTACTGGGAAGCTTTCTTTTATACTCTTTTACCCCCTCCACGACTTTCAAAGGGATGCCTCTTCATATTCCATGTTAAAACAATCCTTAGTAACGTTCGTCGTCTTCCATAACTACAAGTAACGCTTCTCCCATCAATTTTTATAACTCTCATGCAATCATGGAGACGTTTCCTAATCGTTATTTGTATTTATTCATATTTCTCCCTAGCACTAAACAAGAGGTTGGACTGACTTTCCCATATGCTAGAGTTACCATGAAACCGAATCTAACCTGCTATAATTCAATAATAAGGTTTTACCGTGACCAGGTTCCAATTTTCCTAGGTCATGTCACCCGACATGCCTGCTCTTGGTACTCAGTTTGCAAAAGCCAGACCTTTAGAATTCTGGATATACAGAATCCCCCCGATAACAAGATCTAATAGGATTGAAGTGTTCAGACTAGAAAATCTTGTAATTCTTTCTACTTCGAACTAGTGACTTATTTGGTGAGTTACCATTGCCAACTAACTTTCTCTCCCCTTGTCATGATGACTTTTTTTTATGGGGATCCTCACTTGTCATCATTATTTCAGTTCGATACAACTTTTTGACCATTGTAAACATGCTTCAATAAAGAGACTCTTTCTTCATTTTGTTTTTCATCAAAGCAAGTGAACCCTCTTTCAAGTGATACTAACGAGTTTCTTTTGCTTCCTCGGTTAATTGCTCTTCCTACAATCTTAAGCCCTAAATATTTTTTTCCCTTTCCCTCTTTTTTTTAATTCTTTTTTATAGTTACAATACAGGATTATGATTATTTAGGAAAGGTTTGATTTCCCTTACTTCTAATGAGAGAAATAGACTTTGGAATGAATGCATGAAAGAGTGTGAGAGTCATCTGAGTCGAACGGAGTTTGACGAGATTATTAGGTAAGTTTATGGTGAGGCTCTTTCACCTAGTAGTAAAACTTACTCAGAGTCTTCGTCATCAGGTTTCGTGGATACTCTAATGGAGACAAGAAGATCTTTGATTGACAAAAAGAGTTTAAGCTATGACCACAACATCATCGACGACAACTATGTTTTGAAGCTTCGCTCTAATAATCAAGTTTCCTCCACTGGGAACAATGAGGATGTTATGCTAGAACCCTGCATGGTCAGTAACCTTTTTTAGTCTTGCCTCAAACGCCCAACGACAATAGTTGTTCCATCCTTTTCAGATAGTGGGTTTTGTGACACGTGCATTATTGATCGGGCATATTTTTTTCTGTCCGATATGGTTTCTCCTCCACCAACAAAACCTCCCGAGATGGTATTAAGTGTGTGTCGAGCCATCCTAGTTTCACGTACTTCCTCAGTGTTCTTTTCCTTCTTGGTAGAAGTATTATCTAGGTCTGGCTCTTTCCTGGACGGGCTCCTCTTCCGTGTAGATCCTTCTATTTCCTTTGCGTATGATAGTAGCCGACCTCTTTGGATTAAAGTCTCAATTTCTCTTTTTAAGTGATGACAATCCTCGATATGGTGGAATCTTATACGATGGTAGGTACACCATTCTCCTTCATCCTTTCCTACCATAATATTGACTCTCTTGGAACAATTAGGTTCGAGCATCAACTTGAGATGATACACTTCCCTTTAAATTTTTGCATGCTTCGTATTGAGAGGGGTGAAGCTCTTGGAGATGTTATCATAATACCTACGAGAAGGTTTTATCCTTGACCTCTCCCTCGACCTGTGCTTGTGATGTTCTCTTTTGGGCCCGGATCTTTCGTATCTAGATTGTGTTTTCTCCTTAGCATCACAAGACCTTTTCTCCATGTTACTCTCCTTCCTCTTGATATAACATTTTGTTATGCTCATGACTTCCTCGATGCTAATGGTCGGTTTCTATGCCTATGACTCATTGAAATGGTTGCCTTCAGGCTGTTTTGGAAAGCTCTTACGAACATCTCCTGATTTGGGTGGGAGACTTTTATGGTTTCTTCATTGAATCGTGCCATGTATTTATGAAGGGACTTGGAGGGCCCATATCATATAATGAATAAGCTGGTGGTAGTCACCTTTCTATGTTTGTTGGCAGAGAAATATTGTACCATTTTTTAGTTAGGTCTTGGTAGCTAGTAATTGATTGTCTAAGAAGACTCATCTACCAACGTAGCACTACATCCTTGAACGTTCCTGCCATGAGGTTGCATTTCAGAGAGTCGGAAGCCGTGACTATTGACATCTAATTGTTGATTGATATTATGTGTTTCTGAGGATCACTTTTGCCATCGAAGGACGACAAAGGTGGTGGTTTGAACTTTTCTATGACTTGATAACCCCAAATCATTTTTTATAAAGGTTGAGGATCACATATTTTTTCCTCTTCCTCCCCTTCCCTCGTAACTTGTGATTGTTGTAATATATGGACACTTTCTTGTAGAGACTCATTCTGTTGGCGCAGGTTCTCCATAATTGATAGGAGATGTGTCATGTCTAGGGGAGCTTGATCTTCACTCCTTCTAGGAGATTTTCCAGACATTGCGTTGTTGTGATAAAATGTATGGTTTTTGTGAGGTCTGGGAAAGTTTTACCTAGGCTCCACAGTGGGTGCCAAATGTTCTTTCTAAATACTATTTGGAGAAACCTCCTTGAAGCTAGCTAAGTGAGGTTATAATCATCCTATTTTGTTAGGAGGTACCAGTTGTCCATCTTTCTCGTTAGGAATCTTTCTTTTATACTCATTTACCCCCTCAATGGCTTTCAAAGGGATGTCTCTTCATATCCTACGTTAAAGAAATTCTTAATAACATTTGTCGTCTTCCATAACTACCAAGTAATGTTTCTCCCGTCAATTTCTATAACTCTCATGCAATTATGGAGACGTTTTGTAACTGTTCTCTATGACTATTCATATTGCTCCCTAGCACTAAACAAGAGGTCGGGCTGACTTGCTCCTACGCCAGAGTTACCATGAAACCGGATCCGACATGCCATAATTCTATAATAAGGTTTTCCCATGACCGGGTTTCGATTTGCCTAAGTCATGTCATCCAACTTGCCTGTTCTTGGAGCATAAATACTTGTTGCTTTTCAACGCTTCTACACAGTTTTTTAAAATCCAATTTCATAAAGAAATGGATAATTGAGTAGAAAATGAGTTCTTCAGTTTGATTTCGTTCTTTACGGCATAAGCGTTTTTTCCTTTATGTACTAAATTTAATTGTATAATATTAAACTTGAGTATAATGTGTGGTTTGGTAGGACCAATTTTAAAGTTTTTAATGAGTTACATGAATATTTGAAAAATATAATTTAGATGTTTAAATAAGATAGAAGTGTAATATAATATATAAAAGTGAGTGGAGATCATTTAAAGAACTCAAGTGAGTATGATGCATCTGAATACTCTTAATATTTGA